CCAAAAATGCAGTGGATTCCAGGGTCGCCAAAGTGGGCCTCCCCAGTAGTAGAGGACGTCCATGCAGTCTGACTATCGAGCTCCAGGAATTTGACCGCCTCCAGGAATTCGAAAGTGCAGTTTTGGAGCAACTTCCCGATAGGAGAGAGCAGCACTTTTGGCTGTGAGCTGGACTTTGTCTGCCGCGAATCACAACAGAAATTAGTGGACCCGATTTGGCACACCTTGCGAGATAGCAATTGTTTTACTGTCATCTCGAGCCCATGTTTTGAGGAGGCGGAACACAAGGGGCAAATGCAAGAAGATGCCAAAGCCATTCGAGTCCCATTCCATGCTACCGACAGAGTCTTCCCACAAGCTTTTTCGCATGTCGCAAAGGTACGACATGTGCCACAAACACGAGTCTTCTGCCGTTGCTATGCACTGCGCGAAGTGCTTGCCCCAGGCTGCAAGCAGTTTGGGGCCCAGGTCTTTGAAGAGTGTTGCTCCCTAATGCAAATTGGAATTAGAAATGATGCGACCAATCAATGAGCCCCGCAGGCAGAGTTGATTCGAAAAATGCACAGCTTTGCGACAACTCGATTTGGAAAAGTCGGAGTACAACCCAGCCAGTTGAATCGTTGCTTGCCAGAGTGCTGCTTCCTTGAGGCTGGCTTAACCTCATTGACCCTGCCTCCAGACTTTACATGGATTGGACCAGCGGCCTGCAAACGTTGCCTGCAGCTGCTCTCACGTGCAGAGATCACGGAAATCATGGGCTCTGCCTTGCACACTGCAAACACTTGCGATCCCTAAGGCTTCCACACAAACTGCGAATGTTGAGCAGGAAGCCTTTCTCAAGTGTACCTCTTTAACTGAGGTCATCGTGCCACCTACGCTGCTCTATATTGCAAGGCGTGCCTTCGCTGGCTGCACGCAGCTCAATCAATTTCAAAGAGCTGGCAAATGATGACTTGGAGAGGAACGTACTCTCGGATCAATGCTTTTCTCAGGTGTGATAACCTTGATATGCCCCAGTGGGTTCGCTGGTTGCCGCGTACTCCCAAGGACAAGGATAAATGGGTAGATGACTCCTATGTAGGCTATAATTAGTACCAAAGTCTCAGAGATGCCTCAGCTGGCACCTGTGTGCTGGCCCTGCTCATGTCAGAGGCCATCTCTTTGGAGCCCAATCCAAAGGCTACCCACCAAAGAACCTCCTTGGTGTTCCCTTGGGAAAGTGCCGGAGACCAGGACTAAAGCAACGATAGGACCAACAGGCACACGCTACCAATCGATCCACGCGTGCAAAGGCTGCATACAACCTGCCTGCTAGCCTTCAGACTAGCACCCGTGCCTGCCCCAAAAGACTCCTGTGGATCCACCTGATCTGAGGGCGAGTGCCAGGCTGGAGGCAAGTGAGGCTTCAAAGTTTCCTAGTGCTGTTGCTAGTCTGGTGCAGGAATGGCAAACCGCCTTTTTTGCACAAGTCGAGGCGCTATGTGTGCAGGTGCTGCACAAGTCACCTTGGTCGAGTTGAGAAGGAGTTCTGTACAGACTGCAAACCAAACAGAGGAAAACAAACAAAAACACCCAAAACCAACCAACCCAACAAACCAAACAACAAACCAACATGAGACAAAGTGAAACGCCGTTTTCCTAAGTCTGTACACTGTACTTTTTTTTTGCACGAGTCGAGGCGCTATGTGTGCAGGTTCTGCACAAGTCACCTTATTTGAGTTGAGAAGGAGTTGCTTCCAGGTTGCAATCCATCAGAGAGACAACGAACAACCAAAACAAAAACCCCACAAAGCAACACACAACACACAAACACCAGAGAGGGAGCAACCTGCTGCGCAACTCATTGGGCCATGTCGACAGAGTGAAAAAGGTGAGACAGGGTGAGACAGGGGCGGAATTCAGCACGGTGTTCAGTAGTTCTTGTCCCTCAACGATCACACATGCAGGTAAGCACCTCAGTGCGTGTTCTTGTGCATTTGGTTCAGTGGAGACTCCAGACATCTCCCTCATGGTTAGTCGCGAAGACACGCTTTTCATTGCAGGAACCATCAGCCGGCTCCTATGAGCTCATATCAAAGTGGCCCACAAGCCAAACTGATAAGAACAGATTCTACACTTGATCATAGCCAAAAGGCCGAGAAGGTACCCATCCAGGGTAGCAGCCTGGGCACTGTCTAGCTGCTCAGGTAGCGAAAGCGAAGAGCAAAACGAAATGGACTGGCACTCTCAGGAACCTTTTTGCTTGCCTGGTTGGCCCTCACTGCCCATCTCAAAATCGCAGTTGTGCATAAGGAGAACCCAGCGGGTCGAGTCATCACGAAACTGCTTACTACCTTTGAGATGGAACCTGATCAACAGCGATATTTTATACGTCCAGTCGGCAGGGAAGAAGCCGAAGCCAATACGCCAGCACGGCCCATGATCTGCGAGCCAGTCAGGCGGTACATCCCAGGCAGCCATGTTGTCATCGTCACCCGGGCCTAGTCTGGGACCAAAAAGGTTGGTAGCGCTGGGAACATCCGCCACATTTGCGGCTAGGACCGATGCTGTTGCAAGAGCCGCCAGCGTCCCGTCTGCTGCCCTTCTGGTATGACTGGCCATTCCAGTTGGCGAGGCATCGAGCGCGTACTCGCAAACAAGTCCATGTAACGGCTGTTCGGCCAGGAAGGTATGGCCCTTCCTGTAGGCTAGAAATTTTCGCTTCAGTAGATGCGAAAGAGTGGCTGAGACAAGGCGTAAGCGCCTCACCTTACCTTCATGATGCTCTGCCAAGCAAACAGGGAGAGGGCCAACCCATAAATTCATGCGGCAAGAGGGCCTGATGGAAAGCAGCAGTGGCGTTTCTAACCTGGATTGCTGTGAGATCAAGAGAGCCTTGGATCGTGATCTCGGTCATCATTGGTGTGTGTGGTTTGCACTCCATGAGGAGGGCAGCCAGTGCTTGCAGAGCCCCTGGCATTCCCTGCATGTTCAGGGGGCAGGCAAGAATGGTGAGGTTGGCAGCACGGCTATGTGCAACATTTGCACGGGTGAAACATTCCTGGTCGAAGTCAAGATTCTGCCCTGCCACTCAGAAAGGTAGAGTGTCCGTGAATGACCATGCAATGCCTGGCTGTGGCCCCTGCTACTTTGACTGCCGTTTCCGCATTGACTTCTTGCCAGCAAGGTCAAAGTAGTTGCGCAGGTTTTGGGCCCTTCTCGGGTGGTCGTGAGGGCCAAAATGCCCTCGTTGCCTGCTCCTGCCTTCATAAGTGCATCTTCCAGGTGTTGATACACGCGAACGGTGGGGTTGTTCTGAGGGTCGTTTCGTGCATCCCCCTTCATCAGCCGACTGGGAGACACCTGGCAAATAGGCACGGCCTGGATCAGTGAAGACCAACTGATTGCTTCCGTCCGTTGGCGCCATGCCTCGGACAATGTGAGGGCCATGGGCAACAACTGCTACTGTTTGTCTTGGCCAGATTGGGCAGAGGCGTGCGGTCACTGCTCTACTTCGAGCCTGAACAGCAGCAGGCTCTCTTAGTCTCATGCAACGAGCTGGAGAAACACAACTACCGGATAAAGAACCTTGGTCCGTAGCTTGCTACGTAGGTAGAGGGACCCGTGATGCGAGTTAGTATGCTCGCTAATTGGTCAGCCAAGAAAATTGGTTGCCAAGGTCGATCTGGTCAACTCTGGAAGCCCTTCATATGGTAGCGCTCTGCGTCTCTCTCAGGGCGGTAACTATCATGTCCATCTCGCTAGCTAGCGCCCAGCACGCATTGGCCCCTGGTTGAACATTGCAAAGCTGACGATGTGCATGTGTATTTTGGAGGGTGCGTTGGATGTCGCACGCTGGTACTCGCACTGTACTGGCACGAGTAATGAGTTCTCTACTGAGTCGTGCGTATGGCACATCTTGACCAGCAATCACATCCTGTTCCGTAAGAGCCTGCAATGCGTAAACACCTAGCTGGGCAGGGGGGCGCACTGTGTCGGCTTGTGGCAAGTTTGCACCTCCATATGTTCAGTTGTCTGCTCATGGATGGGGGTGGGGCGACTTTGTGGCAACAGCCAGGGCGGGATTGGTGGTGTTGGACGAGGTGGGGCGACAGGTACAGCTGGCAAGGCATAGAGCTGTGAAAAGGGGAAAGAGGCTACAACTTCCCCCGGTTCTGGAGGTCTGGCCTGTCCTCGCTCTGCCGCCCATCCATTGGGAGAGAGACATTCTGATTGTTGGAGAATGCGATAAACAATTGCCCTTTGTAGGGCACTCCTACCATGCAGGAGAACACCATCATGTGTGATGTGTGGTGAATCTTCAAAAGGAAAAAGGACCTGCCCACTAGGAAGCACAAAGGTAGATCGGCGCATCTCAGGTGGCACTCATGGCAGCACTAGTTGGAAGCATAAGCTCCAGCAATGTTGACCAGCGGCACTCTGCGCTTGGCGAAAGTCCAAAGGACCATCAGGGCTGGTGGCCGCGGGGCCAAGACCTGTGAGGAGCCCCTCTGGAAAGGTCACTGCACGTGGACTGCAGCATGTTGGCGAAAGAGGACACGGCCTGAACTTTGTCAGGGCGGA